TCAAATTTATTGGGTGCTCCATCTCTGGAGGCTTTTAAGAAGAGATTGGACAGCCATTTGTCTGAAATGGTATAAGGTTCCTCCTTGAACAGGAGGTTGGACTGGAAAACGTCCAAGGTCCCTTCCAACTCTGTTATTCTGTTAAATGTAGTTTTTCTCTTTGGCAGTTGCTCTGATACATGGCCTTCCTACCTAATTCTGGCCTCTGAGAAATGGTGCCCACTTGCAACATAGCATCATGCTACCTTCACTGTACAGGGAGGTTGAGGGACCAATCAGCTGGCTCTTCTTTCTGAACATTTTTTTCGGAGCTCCATCCCTCAGCCTCTCAATACAGTGGAAACCATGTAGGCCATCCCAGAAGCAGAAACCATTTTGGAGCAGCTGCAATGAATTGCGGCTGCTCCAAAATGGCAGCCACTTTGGAGATGGCACCATGCAGCCTCCAGGGAGGCAGAGGGCCAGTTCTCCTTCTCAACTGTGATCTCCAAAGCTCCAGAGAGGAGAGCTCCCCTACAGTGGATGCCTCATGGTGTCATTCTGGAAGTGGATGCCCTGTGGCCTTCACTGTCTGGGAAGATGGTGTGGAGGAGCCAGATCGAAGATCTACCAAAAAGATAAGTGATGGGGAATGGGGAGACCCAGCACCATGAAAAGCAGTAAGGCCAAGACTTGCAGGGACACAGTGGATTGGGAAAGTAGGCCCCATGCCTCAAGGAAAACACTAGGGCAGGAAGTGGAGTACAGGGTGCTTCATTCAGAGGATAGGAGAGGTTCCAGGAGGCTCAGGGCAGGCCACGTGTAAGTTGGGGAGGTGCTGTACTGCAGGCCTGGGCTAAGGGCGAAGCCTCCCAGGGCCTCCCCCATCCCGAGGCGCCCCATGTTCTGATTAACTATTGCAACAGAGAAATCAGGGATTGGGGTTAAGTGAGGCAATTACTTGGGCACCTCACTTAATTACTGACATGACTTGTGGCAATAATGGGCAGGCTCCGTTACGTTCATCAGCTGAGGTCTACTGTAATAAAGCAAAGATTTGAGATAATTTGTGGTAAGAGTTCATATAAAGAGAAACCAAAATATACCATTTTAAAGGTTATGCATAAACTGTTCTTTTAAATTGCAGTCTAATAAAATTCTAACACTAAAGTTAGCCTTCCAAAAGCCTCTTCTCCAATGCCAGGCTAATTGCCACTATTAGCTGAATAACACCATCAGGTAAAGTTTGAATCCTACCATACCACTATTGAAATAATAACTTGGCTCTATTATTTGTTCTAAGCAAACATTTGCTTTTGTAAGCAATTGCCTTTCATATACTCATTATGAAAACTGAATAATGAGGAAGAACTAAAAAAGAAGAAACAAGTCTTTAAATTATGGATCTAGATGCAGTTGCTAAGAATGTGAAGGACTGCAAGATGAACCAATCATTCTGCCCTGGCCTAGATAAAGGCAGACTAGTCCCTTGAAGTACGATTCTGTAAGCAATTATTGACATATTTGGGAGACGCAGTAAAGTATTTCTCCTTTCTAGTTCCTACATTTCTGACATGAGGGATAATAAATTTATTAATTATATATAAAGAAAATAATAACAGATAATAAACTAGAAAAAGTTGAACAGGTTGAGGAAAATAAAAACAGAAGAGAAAGTGAATGGACAGTATTTGTCACGTGGACAGATTTCTATTAATATAAGACAAAATCAATCATGCATAGCTAACAAAGAGCCATTCATCATTCATCTTCTAACCAGCATTTTATAGAAACATATTCAAAACTAAATGATTTATAAAACCCCTGAATGTGTGTTCCCTTGTAGATAATTCTTCTTTAGCAATTGCCTTATTTAGCAACCATTTGCAATTATGACTGTGATGAAAAGTAACTTTAGCACTAATCCTTCCATGTAAAGCAAAGAAAGGCTGCTATACAATTACAAGCACAATGACAGTTTCACTTAGCAACTGCTTCATTTATCAACCAAGTTGCCAATCACAATTATGGTCAGTAAATGAGGATTACCTATATCTTGGAAATTATGGGAAACTACAATAAGATATTCCAACAGCTTTTTCCATCTCAGCCTCACAGAAATTCAAGTAAGCAAGTAAGAGGGGAATAGCAATAGCAAACGTTTTCATTACAGACAATGACTGCACCTGGATCTAATCAACCTAACAATACCCAGCTGCAAGAACAAGTACAACAGAGATAATTTAACAAGAGGCAGTTCCATCTGAAACAATTTACACCATATATTCAAAGAAAAGGTTTTGCAGTAGAATCTCCATTAATGCAAAAACTTATCTCATGTATTTTATCATGCACTAAAACTTCTAGGAGAACTTTGGAATATTAGTGACTAAGTCAAAATTCAAAAGGCTCTGTCTTTAAAAATGTGGGACAAAAGATAATGTAACAGAACAATCTGGTCCAAAGCCTAACTATTATATAAACTGCATGCAATGGGGGCAATATATAACAAAAGAGGGGGGAGAAGTACAGATAGAAGTAGACAGAGTCAACTCAAAGTTACCTTGAGATATGTCTTTCTTTAACTAAAATCAAATTACAACTGGATTTTATACAGCTTGAGCCTCTTTGCCTTTTTGCAACCCCTAAGATTAGTATTCTTAAATTATCAAATTTAACTTGCCTTGAAATTTATCTGGAAAAAAAATCAAAATATTATATCGGTATCCCGGAGATATAACAGACCAACATAAAAGGAGATGGGAGAGTGGAAAAATATGGGGGGGAAATTGTACCCTTTGAAAGGCTTTTTAAAATGACAGTTCACTATGATATGACAACTTGCAAAGAGTATAGCAGCTTTTCACATCCTAGAGTAAGGATTAAATTGCAGGAGTTAAATAACTCCATCTCAAGAACTCTAAGAAGATCAGTGACTGAGCTTTCCTCTGGCACTTTGCATGAATGCTTGCCAGCCCGAATATTGTTCCTCTTCTCAAACTGAACCAATTCTAGAAGCTGCAAGGCCAGACTTTCCTCCTTTAAAGATTAATTTCTTTCAGATTCAGATAACTGCAGACAAAATACAGACTCTCTACCTGCAGGGAATTACTGATTTCTACATATGGTGATATGGGGGAAATATTAGTTTCATACGTGTAATCAAGTTTTTAAAAGACATCTTGCTTTTCAGAATTTTTTTTTTAAGTTGCAGTTGCAGGAAAGAAAATGCTGAAATCTTCAAGAAGAAAAATGATACATAATTTAAAGATGCTGAAATTTGTAGAATAGGCTAGAATACAACAAAAGATTATAAAAGGCTTGAAAGCAGAAAAAATGGAGTACATAATAATGAAGTGGGGATATAAGATCTTTCAGAACATGAACTGTGTCCAATTAAAAAGAAGCGAAGCAAGAACATTCCATTAAAAATACACCAGCCATCATGCTTATCGAGCAACACCCAACACTATATGCTTTGATACTAAAATATGTGATCATATGTTTGACAAGAATTTGACAGGCATGAAGGGGACATTTCAGAACTGAGGTGGTCTTCAAATGCTACATCAGTAATGGGGGGGGGGGAGGCCTTCAAAAAATATACCAAGCAGTTCTCTGCCCGGTTGATGGTAGGCATGGCCTAGTCTGCCTCCTGCACCACGGGGTGTGGTGGGGGCTTTTCACCATCCCTGGGTTCTGGAGGTTTTCCTCGAGCTTCCAGGAGGTCAAAAATGGCCTCCCTAGGCTCCAGAGGCCTTCTGGTGGCTGGAAATGGGCCTTCTGGAGCCTCCAAGAGCCCTCCCCAAGCCTCCCTGCAGGCCCTGCACTTACCTGGGATCCAAAATGGGCCATACGGAGACTCCTGGGAGGGTAGGGGTGGGCGGGGCCAGCCAATTGTTGCAACTACTGATTCAGTGAACCATATGTAAAATCAACATCCAGTTCGCCCAAACCACTGTGAACCAGTAGCAGCCCATCCCTGTCAGTAATGTGTTTTACATTTATTGCTTTTTAAAAAGCTAGCAATTCCTCTTTGTCATAATGAGCAATGCAAGTCCAAATATCATTCATTTAGCCACTGTTTTAGATATGCATGAATTGCAAAAATGTAAAGAGAATGATTTGAATATTTTTAAATGACTGACAAATGTTAAAGTGCTACACCATGGTTCTTAACAAATTGTTCTTGTTCTGGCAAATAAAATCTAAAATTTCACACTGCAGCTTTCAGACACTGAAACTGAGAAAAAGTATCTCAGATCAGGAAAATGTGTTACCCATTTCTGCAAATTCATTTGGTTCAGCAATTCTACTGCCACCTAGTGCGATCTAGACACAATCAAAATTTATAAACAGAAAGTGATGGGTATGTCTCTGCTAAGAAAGGACTAGGGATGACATGATATCAGACTTTCAATATTTGAGGGGCTATTACAGAGAAGAGGGGGTCAAATCTATTCTCCAAAGCACCTGAGGGCAGAACAAGAAGTAGTAAGATGGAAAATTATCAAGACATACAACCTAGAAATTAGGAGAAATTTCCTATCAGTGAGAAAAATTAATCAATGGAACAACTTGCTTTTAGAAGTTGTGGGTACTTCATCACTGAAGGTTTTTAAGAAGAAATTGGACAATCATTTATCCAGAAAGGTATAGGGTCTCCTGCTTGGGCAGGGGGTTGAAACAGAAGACGTCCAAGATTCCTTCCAACTCTGTTATTCTGACATAGTGTTCATTTTATGTTTGAAATTGTGGAAATTATGCTAATTATAATTATGTTATAATTAATGAATTATTCATTACATTCTGTCGCATGCCTATCTGCTTCCTTCCTGAGCTTCAAAATAAATAATCAGACCCATCTTGCAAAGGAAAAGGCACAAAAGCAGTATTAGCTTCCAAAAGACGCAACCATTTCTATCTGAATGCCAGTGACAATTCCAGTGTATTCACATTTGAAGAACATAGCCATGGTTCATCAGAAAGTTATACATTGTAGCAATGGGAGGGCACCTTACCTGAAAGTGCAAAATTATGGTCCATATTAATCCCAGTGTCAATTTAGGATTCCCATCTGTTATGTCATCATTTCGAATGTTCACCAGTTTCACCTGTTGTGGGTGGAGGGGGAGAAATGTGCAAAGGAATTAAAACAAATGCAGAAGACAATGTGCAATTTTTCTCTTGTATATGGTTGCAGTGAAGAAAAGATCAACTGGCTGTTGGTGCACTATAATTCTGGTTTATCCTGTTCCTCTTTCTCCATGAAGCAGAGGATGCCTCTAGAAAAAGCAGAATTCTTCTAACAGGATAGATGATGCTTCTATTTTTGCACAGGGATAGCTTCAATTGCAGGAGAAAGTTGGCCAGTTAAAACAAAGGAACCAATTATATTAATCTTTTCAATTGATTCTATTACTATTGCTAAAGATATCTGCATGTTAGCTTTAAGAGCTAAGATTAGCAAACTCCTAAGCTACAGCCAATTCTCAATGCCATCAAGAGATTGAACAATATCTGTTAAATTGACAGGGCAGGACTAAAAAGACAAAGTCTAGACTATGGACCCACAGAACAGCTTTGATCTCATTCACTGCAACGGGCAATCATTGTTGTGTTTGAAGCTTCATTCTTGTCTGCCAAGTCAAAGCAACATGTTGAAAAAGTGTCTGGAGAATTATGATTTCCCAATGGAGTGTAGCCTGTCACTAACAGTCCTTCCTCTGTTTAAGGTAATCCACTCTGGCTAATGAATAATATTGAATATAGTCCCCAAGATGCAGCATTAAATTTTGGCTATATTCATCAAACCCTTCTGTCCTAATTTATAACATTTTCCAAATACTTTGAATTTGCTGGTCTATGACGTTATTCAAGTTAATTGGTTGATTTGATTAGAAAGGCTTTGAGAGTCTTATTATTATACCATGCTTATCTACACTATTATTTACTTTTCAATTAGGATGGAAATTATATGCTTGAACTTAAACACATGATGTTCAAACCATTTGAAAAAAAAAATACCAAAAAAGTGTCTGTGTATGCACATTCCGAAGCAGCTATCAGAGTCTTTAAAAGGACGTGGCTGCTTTAAAGATTCAAAAGAAGATGCATCAATTCATTCTCTCAACACTTTCCAAAGGGTTCTTTTAAATGCTTTACATTCTTATTATGCTGGTAAGATATAACTCAGCACAACTCCCTGCTTGTGGGAAGGCTTCCCCAATATTCCAAATGTATCTATATGTTGTTTGAACATATGTTGATTTGGGGGGGGGGGGTGTTCCACTTCAATTTTTCTACTTCTACTTCAATTTGGTTTTGCTACAAATGTAACCTTGACACCAAATATTCCTAGGAATCCAGAATCCTTGCTAAACATAGAATCTAAATCTTAACAAGGGAAAGCAGACCAATATTATCTTTTCTCCTGCTTGGAGTATTTTTTTTTTTTCATTTTCATATGGATTGCCTATTTAGTTTGTTCCTCAAACTTTAAGTTCATTGACCTCTTCATGAAGTTCAGATTGTTCACTTACCCTCAAACATTACATGAAAATAATTTAATACATACTACTTTAACTAATAGTACTACAAATAATACCTTGTCAGCACTGACAAAATCACCATCGATTAATTGTAAAAGGCAATTTTATTTGGAACAGCTTACATCCTGAAACAATATCTGTAACATTATCACATAACAGGTAACAGATAACAGCAATATCAGCCTATCCCAGATTCTGGGGATACAAATAGTCCTCGACTTAAAATCACAACTGAGCCCCAAATTTCTGTTGCTAAATGGGACATTTGGTAACAGTTTTGCTGCATTTGATGGCCTTTCTTGCTTGTTAAGTGACTCATTGCAGTTGTTAAGGTCGTAACATAGTGAATCTGGCTTCCCCATCAACTTTGCTTGTCAGAAGGTTATAAATGGTGATCACCTGACTCCGGGACACTGTGACCGTCATAAATAGGAGTCGCTTGCCAAGCATCTAAATTTTATCATGTGACCATAAATGTGAGAAATGATCATTTTCCTTTTATCAGTGCCACTGTAAATTTGAAGAGATCACTAAACAAACTGTTATAAGTCAAGGACAACCTGTATTTCCATCAACCTTGGGAGTTGATGTTGGGGAACCCTGATTTAGTTGCTGGTATGCTGTTCAAGATAACTTTGTAACTCTTTTTCTACAGAGACAAATATATTTTAATGTTTAATGTTAATATCAGTTTTTATATTTCATTTCTAATTTTTTTTTAATATAGATCCCCTATGAAATTAGTCAATCATGTAACAAGACAAAGGAAGAAATAATAATCTTTTCTTGAATGAACAAAAAAAATGGACGAAACAACTGAAAAACATGACAGAGTATAAGAGAAGTTGCAAGTGAAAGAAACCTTTTCCTATTCTAATTCACAGTGATGGTATCCTTATCTGGAACTGTAATAATTTCAATGAATTTTAAAAGAATTCCTATTTCCTCCCACTGATCTGCTCCCTAAAATGGAAATTTGTGGCGAGTGAGTATAGTCAATTGTTTATTGTTCTCTTCTTTGCTAAAACAAGAATATTTAATCTCAGATTAGTTATAGAAACAAATCACAGTAGTCAAATTTCTACTATTCATTTCTTGAAAATATACTCTATTCTTGGTCTGCTCTTAATATGTGGCTTCAGCTCTCTTCTACTAGTTCTCGCCAGAAATGTCTAGCATACAGATTATAAGGTTCATGAAGAGAATACCAAAGATGAAATAAACACTTTAAAACAGTGGTTCTCAATCTGTGGTCCATGGGGGAGGGGGGGCATGACAGCTTGAAGAAATGTTATGATTTAAATCTTGAGTTAGGTCTTGGGGGTCTGTGGCCATAGTCCATGGCAGGTATTTAAAGTGGGGTCATGGTAAAGAAGAGTTGAGAATCACTGCATTAAAAGATTTCTCTGTTAGCCCTTGCTAACATGAAGTATGCAGTGCTCAATTCAGAATTATGCCTCAAAAACTACATTTTTGCCAGTACGTTCATTGAATCTAGCCTATTAATAAAACAACCCTATTCACAATCACACAGCAATTGCACTTACTGAATTTGCCAACATGTATTCCTAAAGTAGATGAGATTTAAGTCTAAAGCAGAATTCACATACTCTGATATACAGTATTTCCTTTCACTTCTGAGCTACAGAATTAGTAATATTGATTTTTTCCTATTCTGAATGGAGAAAAAAACACCAGGTCAACATGATCTGTAATACAATACATTGCTAAAGAAAAAAGATAGATGAAGAATATTAGAGTTCCTAAGGACAGCCAATAAGATTAACATCATCAATATAATAGGTAATAAATATTTTAACACAGAGATAAAAATGGAGAAAATATTGTTTCAAAATCAATGTTTCAATTTTGTTTCTTAAATGTGATATCTTACCTGCCGCCTTTTCAAATAATCGAGTGCAATTTGGACATTCTGTAGTCTGTGAAATCTCATCCGTCCTTTCTCTCTGGGCTAAAATCAGAAAATGGAAGATATAAGAATTTCTGTAAAGTTCCACAAATATTTTCAGACGTTATATTTCTATAATATTTTAAATATTCCTGAATATCACAGGAAAGGAAAATTATCAACAACCAAATGAAGATATTTGCATGAAATGTAATGGCTCTGGAGAAAAGCAACTCAATTTTAAACTTTACAAATGTCCTTTCCCTCCTGTGGCTTCTTTCTTTCCATGTGATTAATTAAAGGATACAATAAATATAACTAAGGCAGTAACACTGCAGCTACCAGACCTACGTATTCGTATTGCGCCAGCATAGTCTAACATGATACAGGTTTCAGTTTCATTAATTTAAATGACAAATTAAAAGTGTTCGAATTCTTGCCAACTGAAATTAATGGGACTTAAAAGTACTTCATTTTTACTGTTCCTATAAGCAGATTAAGCAGAAATTATGATCCAGCTTACTTCACCAAATCCATAAATTTCTTTTAAGGTTCATTTAAACTTAATCAGCGTTTTGGGAATATGATGTGAAGCATGTTGAAAGCAAGTTTCACATCATATGACTTATAATAGTTTGTTTAGTGGTCGTTTAAACTTACAACATCACTGAAAAAGTGACTTATGACCATTTTTCACACTTACAACCATTACATCATCCCCATGGTCATGTGATCAAAATTCACATGCTTGGCAACTGGTTCATACTTATGACCGTTGCTGTGTCCCAAGGTCATATGAACACCTTTTCCGATCTTCTGACAAGCAAAATCAATGGAAAAGCTAGATTCGCTTAACAAAACAGGTTACTAACTTAACAATTGCAGTGATTCACTTAACAACTGTGGAAAGAAAAGTTGTAAAATGGGGCAAAACCCACTTAACAAATATCTCACTTAACAACAGAATTTGTGGCTCAATTGCAGTTGTCAGTCGAGGATTACCTGTACTTTGCTTCTGGAATGAAAATGCTTCCTTTAAAAAAAGCTGTTCTTATGATAACTCCCTTCTCAAATTATCCTATCTATCCAAGCTATCTCAAATTTACTAGTATGTTAAAGTTTTAAAAAAAACTGTTTAGAAGGTTAAGCAGGTAAGTTATCAAGAGAAATCGTCAAGTAGTTTCAATCAATAACTATATTTAACTTCCTATGTAATTCTAGTTAAGTAAATACAAACTAAGTAAAAATAGTATTTGCTAAGATACATCAAAAATATATCAAAGGCATGAATCTCTGAACAGGGAACAGTCTATAGGCACCAGTAAATAGCAAAATATAGCTAATGTTCAGTCTATCAAATCCCAGTAAATTACAGAATAGAATGTAGTTTGTTCTGACCTAAGAAATCATGTGAAATATATATTACCCATATAGTGCAGGTTTTTTTTTTAAAGAAGTTGAAATATAAGAGCTTCATTTTGTCATCATGACTGTCATATTAATTTCTTAGACTGAGGCACTGTTTCGTGATTTTTTTTGGTTTGCATTTTGGGATGTATACTAAGACCTTATATAGAATAACCAGAAAGCTGGTTCTCAAAAAGAGACACAAGGGAAATATTCATGAGAATTTGGAAAGGCACACAAAAAAGTTTTTGAATCAGGTTAATATATCCCCATCAATTTTTGCTCAGGGAAAAGTTGGATTTACATAACCAAATATCAATGCCCTCCAGGAAAACAAAATCTTATGGTTGACCAATCCTGAACAGTGTAATATTGCTTATGTTTAGCCATCAAATTACATATTTTTCTATCCCATAACCTTAAGCACCATCATGAAAATGTGCAATCTCTTTCTTAAAAATACTTACACAACATGCATGAAGCATCAGTTATTATAGAAAACCAAAAATATTCAGCAGATTAATGATAAACGTGGCAAAATGCATGCAGTTAGTATAAAAACCACAAAGAGGAAAACTCAACAGAGAAAAAGGTCCCGTACGCTTAACTACCCGAGAATAAAGGGGGAAAAGTTGCATTGATATTTACAAATATCAATGCCTTTCTTCCCGACTTCAGATTTTTCACAAACCTTTGCCATAATGGACAAAATTCTCTACTGTCCCAACTCAAATCCCTTGTGAATTTTGTAATGCAAGTATATTGGCATATTAAAACCAAAATCACAAACATGTGAGCTATTTCACTAAATCTGTAGCAATATCTAGCCATCATTATTTGTATAGTTGGTGCATCTTTGCAAAATAAATATGTGTCCCCTAAATGTTTGCCATTTAATAAGGGACATACAGTATAGTACAATAAAGAGGTAGCTATTCTGGCAATTTTTTTTTAAATAGCCTTCCCAATGCAGCTCATGGGATGTATCCAAGCCATTGGCACCGCTCACATTTTTCTAGATTAGAAGCATTCCCCATAATGCCAATCCCATTGCCCAATTCTTTCTAATGAAAATGTTGCACACCATCACAACTGAACATTACTTTTACATTAGCAGTCGGCACTCTTCACAAACTGTATTAGTAGAGTTATGGGGGTCGGCACCTACCCCCTTATCCTCATCCTCCTCATCCTCATGCTGTTCAAACGGGCATGCTTCTGTTGAACTCACCAACCGTAAGGTCTTCAAAAAATCTCGCTCCCTTGGCTAATAAACACAGACAGGAGACAGGAGAGCAAAGACACAAGACAGACCACAAATGAAGAGAAGAATATGAATGGAAGAACATAATGAAGGAAGTAAGTGCCAAGCAGAGGAGAGAACGTTCACAATGAAAGGAAAGGACATGATATCAGAGGGGAATGTTAGACAATTGCAGCGGGAGCAATACCAAAACACAATTATTTTTAATTGGAAAAAGAATATTTTGCATCCCTCACATGTTGGATGATTTTTTTTAAAAAGAAAAGAAAATCAGAAAATCAAAAGGCAACTATTTAGAAAAGATTGGTTTTCTATAGGAACAAAAAAAATATTAGATTATTAATTATGAGACATTCTGATCCCTCTTCCCCAAAGCCTCCCAGTTGTGGAAACAATGCATCAAAGAAATACTGAATTAAGATAAGAACAAATATCAATTAAATCTGTAAAACAGTTGCGTTAAAATTAAGGAACTCACTAAAGTATCTCCTGAAAGGACTTCCAAAAGAGAAATCAAGTTATGTCCATCTCTCAGATCTTCATACAGGTCATTGACATGTTTTCGAACCTATAAAGAAAATAAGATTAAAAGTCAATGTGTGGTCTTTTTCCAGGAGAAATATTTGTATACACTCCTGCTGAATGCAGTGACATTTATACCAAGGTAAGTGTAGAAAAGACTTTAGTCTTACTGTAAGAAATTGTGTTGCAAAGCCTAGGGAATACATACATACTAAGGACCATCTTAATGTATTGAAAAATATGGCTCCTATAATATAATTTCCATATGATAATCACTTGAAATTCTCACCCCCCCCCCCCCCCGCCAACAAAGACTTCAAAGTGAAAAGAGAGACTATGGGATGCAATAATGCATATATACCATTTCAGTATTATTTCAATTAGAATAAAGAGTCCTTGAAATTGAGAAGAACCGTGCCTATTGTTTATCTGATTAGCAGGTAATGAGGTAAATTATTTTTCTATCAATTATTAAAGAATACTTTGCAGTTCTCTAATAAGAAATCCATTAGAACATATGGTTTTACTGTACTTACCAAAAGGGAAGAAAATGATAGTAAAATTAAAGATGAAAATTATTGTGTTATGATTTACAATAGTTAATTTACTTGGACTCTGAACGACAGCAGTCCTTCCATTAATAGTTACCAATAGTTACTTGCAAACAGTGCTATTTGGAATCCCCACCCCTACTTCCCACTATTACAGAGAATACACCAGTCATCCAGATCAGATTCTTGGGGGCTCTAGAGGATTTAAAGGATAGGGGAATGGAGAAAAGTCACAAACACACAGACTTCTGTTAGTGAGGAGTGTCCATGAACAAGTCCTCTAGTCACACTATGTTTTAATAGAAACAAAGAAATTCAGAAACCCAGTTAATTTATTTAATTCTGCAGAGGGGTGTGTGTGTAAAATATTCCAGATTATATATACTTGTTATTAGGCGAAAATCATAGCCTCCAAGTATACCCTAACTCAGTGATGGCTAACCTTTTCCTCGTCGCATGCCAAAAGTGCATGCGTGTGCTTCCACCAATAATGCAATGCACGCGTGACCGCCTGCGTGCACACCATGTGCCTCTGTGCATGCGCACATAACTGCCTGCATGCGCACCGCGTGCCTCTGTGCATGTGACCTCCCGCGTGTGCATCACGTGCCTCTGCACATGTACGTGTGACCTCCCGTGTGCGTACCGCATGCCTCTGCGCATGTGCGCATGACCCCCCTGCGCCATGCGCCTTTGTGCATGCGCACCCCATCCCCATGCATAGCATGCCTCTGTGCATGCACATGTACCCCTGTGCCCCTCCACCCCCTGTGCATGCGCATGCATCTCCTGGGTGCACATCTTCCCGCACATGCGTGGCAGATACCCGACAATCAGCTGGCTGGTGGGAGGACGTGCGCATGCAGAGTGAGGCTGTTTTGGATGACCTTTCGCATGCTGGCAGAAATGGTTCTGCGTGCCACTTCCGGCCCGCGTGCCATAGGTTCGCCATCACAGACCTAACTACTTATTTCTAGAAGCATGGTGGCTCCAGTGGTTGAAACTGGGCAGGAGGTTAGCAAGCCCATGTTCGAGACCCAATAGCTGCCATGGGGCTGGGTTGAGCTCTCATCCTCCACTCCAGCTCCTGATGGGGGCATGAAAGGAGTCCCCAATTGGGCATTCCCAGGGTAACAGTTATGTCAACGGCTAATCCTTTTAACCTGGAAGCGCTTCGGTGCTTCTGACACCAACATGGAAACCCTTTAGTGCTTCTGCCACAAGCACAACTATTTATTTGAGTTAACTCATGTATCATACAGAGGTGGTATTCAGCAGGTTCTGACCAGTTCTGGAGAACCGGTAGTGGAAATTTTGAGTAGTTCAGAGAACCGGCAAATACCACCTCTGGTTGGCCCCACCCCCATCTATTCTCTGTTTCTCGAGTCCCAGCTGATCAGCTGGGTCTTCTTTTGTTGCCCTGCACAGGAGAACGGAGCTGGAAAGCAGGTTAGTGGGGCGGGGAGGGAATGAGATTTTGCAGTAACCTTCTCCCAGAAGTAGGGAGGGAATGGGGATTTTTCAGTAACCTTTCCCTGCCATGCCCACCAAGCCACACCCACCAAGTCACACCTACAGAACTGGTAGTAAATTTTTTTGAATCCCACCACTAGTATCATATCCAAGAAACATAATAAAGGGAGTAAGCACCAAGCTGAGGAGGGAGAATTGTTCACAATGAGAGGAAAGGATGTAAGAAGGGAATGTTAGACAGCCTTTAGTCAACTGTGGTCATATATTACATTCCTTGATAATGGTGAAGAGGGTGGTACTGGTTAGCTTTAGCATAGTTTAGTCATCATGACACAAGCACAACCAAATCTCAGTTTTACTCAGTTTTATTTTTATTCTATTCGAGTTAGGATCTTTGTTCTAGGGAACTATCTTGCAAATTAGCTTACTATTTCTTGTATTCTACAAAGTAAGAAATAAACACAGTGTGCTGATACACTTAGGATACATAGCTAAAGCTAAATTATTATAGACCAGTGAAGTGAAATTAGTTTTCAATTTGCATTTAAAACAGAATCTGAGGAATGGGGTTAAAAAATATTAACTGTGACAACCCCTCGGCAATTTGAATTTACTGAATAATTATTCCTTCTGGTAACAGCCTAATGAATATGCAAGTACTACCATCCAAATGAATATCTTCCTACAACAATTATTTGAAGAAAGCAAATACATACATTTATGTGTGTGTGTGCAGGGTCTTTGTGTGTATAATGTAGCCCTAATACTTTACAATTATTTAGAGCCAGATTTGTTTCTGTATTCAAAGTATTTAAAGATATATATATATGTGTGTGTGTGTGTGTGTGTGTGTGTGTGTGTGTGTGTGTGTGTGTGTGTTTTCTGAGGTTCTCGCGGGTATTTGTATGTGGATCTTTGGTTAT